CATCTCTCTTTTTCAAAAATTGTGAGCAAATAAGCATGCTATGTAAGAAACAACTATAAAGTGTGAATCTACTTGTAAAATGTTTCACTAGTGGCCAAGGGAAAAGTTCAAGTATACTGGCCATCCAGTCCCTTAGATCCTATTCCCAACTCTCAACCCCCTTGGAAGACAGCATTCATTCAAACCAGGATGACTAATTAGGAGTAAAACAAATATAAACAATCTGTTTGAAAATAATACCTACAATGTGTAAGCACTCCTGAAGTGCAAGAAAATGGTCTTATTCTTTGTCCAAAACAGGACTCTTCTAAATTAATACAGTAAAACAATGATTAAAATAATCATGATCTTATCCAAATAAATATTTTACTGACTTTAAGCTTTCAAATGCAGGAGCTACCCTCATCCTTACCTTCATGCAAAACAGCAACCTTTTCTTTTTCCTGATCATAATTATAAACACATAGCAGCCCACTCCTCACAGTTTTCTCATCTTTTGAGCTATATATACTTGCAACTCTTTCCTCAAGAAGCCAGCTGGAAACACTGCATGTTATAAAACTGGTTTCCTCACTGTCATTCAAACTTATTTGTATATAAGGAAAGTACTGTGTGACTACTGCTTGTACCTTGCATAGTATCTGGAAGGTCCTCAATAAATATCTGCTGAATGAATGGAAAATTTGAATTTCAGCAAGCAGTAAGAGTTGCTATTCACAGGGGATGGGATGATTTGAGCTCTGCGGTGACCCAGATGGGAGGGAAATCTGAGAAAGAGGGGATATATACATACATATAACTTGGAACATAATAAAAATTTGATCTTATACTAAATAAGCATGTCTCAACAATTTGACAGAACTGAATAATTAAGATTTTCCAGACCAAAATGAAATTAAATTAGAAATTAATAACAAAAAGGCAACTAAAAAACCCTCATATATTTAGAAATTAAGACATTCATTATACTTGTCAAAGAAGAAATCCTAACAACTTAGAAAATATTTGTAACAATAAGAAATTACATAACAAAATTTGGACATTACTCAGGGAGTGTTCAGAGAAATGTATAGTCTTAAATGCTTACATTGGTGGTGGGGGGGTGGGGTGGGGGTGGACTTGAAATGAGTAAGCTAATGTGTTAGTCACTCAGTTGTATCTGACTCTTTACGACCCTATGACCTGTAGCCTACCAGGCCTCTCTGTCCTTGGAATTCTCCAGGCCAGAATACTGGAGGGGGTAGCCATTCAAATCTCCAGGGGATCTTCCTAAAACAGGGATGGAACCCGGGCCTCCTGCACTGTAGGCAGATTCTTTACCATCTGAGCCACCAGGGAAGCCCAGGAGTAAGCAAACCGTATCTTAAAATAAGTTAGGAAAATAGAAGCAAAAATAAACCCAGACAAGCTTTAACAAAAGAAATAATAAAGAAATAAATGAAAAAAATTAAATATAATTCATATAACAAAAGAATAATCGAAACCAAAAGGTGGTCTTCTGGAAGCCTACCAGACAAACCTATGGCAAGATTTTTCAAGGAAAAAAAATAAATATGTGAGAGTAGGGGTGAAAAAGATATTAGCACAAATATTGTTGATAAAATATTATAAACTTTGTGCCAATAACTTTAAAAATTTAGATGGAATTGACAAATCCCTACATCTATAAAATGTTCCAAAATGACTCGTAAAGGAATACAAAATGAAAATAGTCTTATAACTGCTTTTTAAAATGGAATTAACAGTTAAAAAATCTTTCCACAAAGAAGGGTTTAGGCACAGACAGCTTCACTGGTGAGTTTTACCAAAAACAAGGAGCAAATAATTCCAATATTAAGCTCTTCCAAAAAAATAAAAAAAAAAGAGAATGCTCCTCGACTTTCTAAGATAACAAACTGGCCAAATTTTATCCTAAAAACAAACCCAAAATATTAAGAGCAGTAACAGGACAACTTAACTCTAAACATAGAAAAAAATCTAAACAAATATTAGCAAGTGAAATCTAGCAGTGTATTAAAAAGGAGGGTCAACTTATGTTTAATCCAGGAACGTAGGGTTGTTTTAAAAAATTAATGTAATTCACTATATTAATAGAATAAAGAAACTCAGGCTATCATATTAATGCCGAAAGTCTTTGATAAAATTTGACATCATTCATGACAAAAAGAAAGCACTCTTAGCAAAACAGGAATAAAAGGAACCTCTTTTATCTGATAAACAGCTTCTACAAAAAACCTACATCAAAGAACATACTAAAATGAATGCTGAAAGCACTAGCTTTGGTATTACTAATAATGCAAGAATGCCTATCAAACCACTTCTATACAATATTGCACTGGAGGCACTAGCCAGCACAATAAAGAGAAAAAAGTATGATTATATTTGAACATATAAAGAATGGGAGGGAAAAAAAAGCAATCATTATTTGCAGGTGATATAATTATTTATAGAAAAATCCAAACGAATCTGAGTACAAACTGCTAGAATTACAAGCAAGTTATGCAAGATGACTATCTAGTGGATTAAAATACAAAAGCAATGTGCGTTTCCATATACCAGCAACAGACTGTTAAGAAACATAATTCAAAAAAAGATACCATGTGCATGACTGTACACATTTGCCAAAAACCATTGAATTGTACACTTAAAGTGGGAGCATTTTATTGCATCTAAATTACATCTCAAAATAACTGTAGGAAAAAAAGGTACCATTTGCAATAGCAACAACAAAAGCAAAGTACACAAGAATTAAACATATACAAGACCTTTCTGAGGAAAAATTATACAGCTTTACTAAATGGCACAAAAGGACATTCAAATAGGTGGGAAGACATAATACATTCATGGAATGGAAGACAATATTGTAAAGATGTCTGTTCTCCCCAATTTGATCTTTAGAGTCAATAAATCTCTGATCAAAATTTTATGAGGGTCTCAATAAGCTGATTCTCAAATTTATATGAAAGAGCAAAGGGCAAAGAATAGACAAGACATCCCTAAAAAAGAAGATGACTTAATCCCTTACAGTAATTAAGATAGTATGATATTGGCATAGTGATAGACATTTCGACCAAAGGAACAGAATAAAGAGCTCAGAAATCAGACGTGTGTATTTGGAAACTTCATTTATGACAATGATGGCATTGTAGTTAAGTGGGGAAATGATGGATTATCCAACAAATGGCCTTGAGACAAGTTATTCAAATGCAGAGAGAAAGAGAATTGGATATTCTACATTGCACTACACACTAAAAGTCTGTTCCAGATGAATTAAAGACATATATAAAAGGGACATCTTTAAAACTTAAAAAGAGAGGAAAAAAATCACTACAGTGTTGGAGCAGGCAAGATTTTTTTTTAAATTCAAATAAAAAACACTAACCAAAAAGAGAAAAGGTTAATCAATTTAATCAAACAATGGATTACACACAATAGGTAAAATCCACTATGAAACACAGTGGGAGAAAAGTGTATTTTTTCCCCAGGAAGAAAACAATGGAACACTGAAGGAAAAACCACCACAAAAACAGTACAAGAAAGTCAGTCCAGCTATAAAGCCAACAGGCACAGTTTTGAGCAATCCATGGTAAGAAAGAGGATCCCACTCAACTCCATCGAGAACAGCGGCACAGGGACCATGACACAGGAACCAACCCAAAGGGTGTCCAGAATGACAGCACACAGCTGAACTCTGTCATGAATGGAATTAACTAAAAATGCTGTTATTTGGTTTCCAACTTTTAGACTGAGCCCTTAATAAATCTCAGAAGACTTAGTCATGATCACAGGAGAGAACAGAACCATTACTAGCTTTGACAATATAAAAGTAATGGCATAAGTGATAGAAGTTAGGAGGCAAAAGGAGAAGGGAGAAGGGGACAGAAGTTACATAGTGGAAGTCAAAAGAAGTTATAAGAAATAGAAGTTTAAGAATTACATCAAAAGAAGTTATAAGAAATAGAAGTTTAAGAATTACATTCAAGATTACAAAGGTAAATAATTTTTTAAATGGTGACAGAATTATGAAAAGCTGGGATGGGTTGATATGCAGAGCTACAATGAGGTTGGTCCTATATACCACAGAAGGAATTCAGTATGTCCAAAATGGATAAGCCAAGAAATGGTGCTCTGAATACATTATTTAGCGATATGGAGGTATCCATTAGGACTTGTACTGGTCCGTGGCCTGTGAGGAACCTGGCTGCGCGGCAGGCGAGCCAGCAAAGCTTCATCTGTATTTACAGCCACTCCCCATCACTTGCCTTACATCCTGAGCTCCACCTCCTTCCTGCCAGGTCAGCAGCAGCATTAGATTCTCATAGGAGCACAAACCCTACGTGAACTGTGCGTGCAAGGGATCTGGGTGCAGGAAAACAAGATCAGGGCTCTCACTGACTCCAAATTATGGTGAACTGTGTAATTATTTCATTATGTATCACAATGCAATAATAATAGAAATAAAGTGCACAATAAATGCAATGCACACGAATCATTTCGAAACCATTCCCACCCCACCTTCCACCTCGTCCCGTGGAAAAACTGTCTTCCATGAAACTGGTCCCTGTACAGTCTTGTGTTTTCTAATTTTCTCTCAATACGAAAAGAATAAATGAGGTTGATTTTCATTTTCACGTTGTCTAAATTACCTTTAAAATCTCAGTGGTCATTAATTGTTGTAGAGAAAAGATCCCTACTACTGAAAAGAACACAAAAAAAAAAGGCGCCCTTGTTAAACCCAGTATAATAATTACTCGTAATGTGTTAATTTTCTGATAGAGACTCCTATATTACTTAGGCTTCAGGGCTCAGGAGCTAGGTTTCCATGTAGATATTATGGTGATTTAAAGTGCTGAAAGCCTGAAGTATTAAGATCCCCAAAAGTAAAGTAAAAAACACAAGGTTAAACATTCATGTTAGCTGATAGTCAGTTCTGACCCAAAAGAATCCAGCAAGGTATCCATTTCAGTATAATCCACATCTCGCTCCACATATATACTTACACTATATTTGCAAGGTCAAGTGGTTTCTCTGGTTGCTCAGGAAAAACAGGATGCGGGGGTTCTCTGGTGGGTACACACCCCAAAGATTTACTAATTGCATGGCTCAGCTTCTTTGCAGGGGATTTCTGTGTCAAAGCAGAAAATAAGGAAATAGGAATTGAATTTTCAAAAGAATGAAAAAGAATGTTAACTTAATGACAAGAGCTGTTGAAAATATCTTTTCAAATACATGCTAATCTGCATTATGGTGAACACTACTGAGCCTTGCAGAAAGGAATCTACAGCTGTTCCAAGGTCGTTTGTGGCCCTTCGTTTCTGACTCCCTCGTTTCTACAATGCAGTCACATTACCCCATTAGTGTTAACGTTCCTTTTGAACATGTCTTGGCACCCCACTCCAGTACTCTTGCCTGGAAAATCCCATGGACAGAGAAGCCTGGTGGGCTGCAGTCTACGGGGTCTTGAAGAGTTGGACACGACTGAGCAACTTCACTTTCACTTTCACTTTATGTGCCCTTTGCGGGAATTGCCTCTTTTGTTGCTTCTGGATTATTCTGGTAAGATGCTCTAGTTAATTCCCTGCTCAGAGTCAGAAATTTTTGCTGGACTAAAACACTAAAAGGTTACGGGAATGCTGAGCTCATAACTCTTGAATGTTAGCAAATTAGCTGACCAACCCACATCCCCAGAGATATTAAGAGACTATCCTCCAAATGAACGTGAAACAGAACATTTGGTGTTAAGGGGCCGGCCGTGGACACAGACACAAGCGAGTGCAATCAGCATCAGATCCGTGACTCTAAATCATGACATGCCGAAGGTACAGAAATAAGTTGGCATACTACTACATTTCTTGGGAAGGCAGAGCAATACACAGCAAATCCAAAGACTAGCAGGCCTAAGGTATGATAGTAAATACACACAAAAGTAAACAATATGCCACAACTAAGATATGTAGAATATGAAACCCATATTTAAAGAAGGCTCTTTATAAACTTACTTTATTGTCCACTCAATTCCCTTTAATTAACACTGTTGTCTGAGATTTTCCTGGCAGGATACTAGTTGCAAAAAAAGTTTAAATGTTTCATTCTTCTGCCTCTGCAGTGTGTTACCATATGTACCACTTTAACTGGAAAACAAAATTTGTTTGCAGCTGAGTCTCATCAGTAGCACATCTCCACTTAATTTAATATCCTGCCTGCATTATTTTTATTTATTTATTTAGTTGCACTGTACACCTTGCAGGATATCTTAGTTTCCTGAACAAGGATCAAACTGCCCTTGGCAGTGAAAGCACAAGAGTCCTGACCCATAGACTACGAGAGAGTTCCCAGCCTGCATGTATTTTAACATGCATGCGTGTGTGCTAAGTTGCTTCAGTTGTGTCCGACTCCTTGCAACCCCATGGGCTGTAGCCCAACCAGGCTCCTCTGTCCACAGGATTCTCCAGGCAGGAATACTAGAGTGGGTTGCCATGTCCTCCTCCAGGGGATCTTCCTGATTTTTTTCTGCTGAGTCACCTTGGGAGCCAGTATTTTAACATAAAATAAGTCAAAATCTATTTACCTTTAAGACTATATAGGCAAAGTTACTTAATACCTTGTTTATAACAGACTCCTTGAGCCTCCTTGAACACATTAAATTCTGTGGAAAAAAATCTATATGTAATCAAATTTCTTAAAAATTACATGAAGTTAAACAAAACAGAAATTTTAAACTTCCCCACAACTGCTCTCTCTGCCCAATGAGTAGCTGTATGTAATCCTGACTCCCCCTTCTCTGCTCCATCTGTTACACTGCCCCAGACATCATGCAGTCTCCTGCTTGAAACCTTCCGGAGGCCAACAGTCATTTATAGACTAAGATATAAAGACACACCATCCTATTTCCATACAGGTGCTTTCATAACTGGCTCCACTCTCTGGCCTCACCTTTCACCCCACATCAGCATGAATAAGCTGCTCAGTTAATCTGTACCTTGGCCAGCGCCTTTCTGAGATCTCCCTTTCCCAATCTACTTCGCTGTAAATTTTCTGCTCATTTCTCAAGAGTGCTTGTTTGCAAGTCTCCCTTTCTCTCTGAAGACCTCCCTCACTGCTCCCTAAGTCAGTGCCCACTCTTCCAAGTTACCCACTTGACAAGTACACATTTCCACTGTTGCACTGTTCCAATACTTCACTGCACTTGCCCATCTGTTAGGCTAGTGCTTTCAAGGGTAGGATCTACATTTTATTTATCTGTGTATTTCCAGAACCCGACCTACAACAGAAGATGTTATTTGAATAAATTATTTGCTTACATGAATTTTCTAGATTGCTTTTTCCTGACTAAACCACAGAAGCTTAGGGTTTTTTTTTTTTTTGAGTTATGATATGAGTAGGGGACCATCAGAGGACACCAGAGATATCTTAACTCACCGTTACAACTAAACACTATGCCTATAATCCATGTATTTATTCTGTGATTTTTTTTGCTACATCTGAGAACCCCCTGGGCCATTAATTCATGCCCTCTACGTGAGATGGGATATCACATAGACTATGTTAGTTGCATCCTGAGTAATAACAGCCATGAAATCACACGTTTCATGTGTATATTTTACAATAAACATTAAAATAAGACTGTTAAAATGAAAAATGTTTCCCTTCCCACCACTTAATATTCTCTAGCAGCATGCTTGTTGTGCTTTCAAAAACACTGCTCCAAGTCAAGGTTTGAGGTTAGATCCCAGTTCAAGTCTAAAAAATATAGATAGAAAGATTAAATCAATACAGCAAAGCCAATTCCAAACAGAGTACATCAAGAAATGCTTGATGTGTACAGGAAGGAAGAAAAGACTGGTAATAAACATATATCTATATATTAAAAAGCACAGACATTATTCTGTCAACAAAGGTCTGTATAGTCAAAGCTATGGTTTTTCCAATAGTCATGTATGGATGTGAGAGCTGGACCATAAAGAAGGCTAAGCACCAAATGCTTTCAAACTATGGTGCTGGAGAAGACTCTTAAGAGTCCCTTGGACAGCATGGAGATCAAATCAGTCAATGCTAAAGGAAATCAACCCTGAATATTCATTGGAAAGACTGATGCTGAAGCTGAAACTCCAATACTTTGGTCACCTGATGTGAAGAGCCAACTCATCAGAAAAGACCCTGATGCTGGGAAAGATTGAGGGCAGGAGGAGAAGGGGGAGACAGAGGATGATATGGTTGGATGGCATCACCAATTCAATGGACATGAATTTGAGCAAACTCCGGGAGATGGTGGATGTGTGCGCTCAGCTGCTCAGTTGTGTCCGCCTCTTTGAGACCCCATGGACTGCAGCCTGCCAGGCTCCTCTGTCCATGAGATTCTCCAGGCAAGAATACTGGAGTAGGTTGCTATTTCCTACTCCAGGGGATCTTCCTGACACAGGGATCAAATTCATATCTCAGGTGTCTCCTACATTGGCAGGTGGATTCTTTACCATTGCACCACCTGGAAAGGCCAACACTTTCAATTAAACTGTAAATTAAGGTAAATAAATGACTTCCTTAAAAATATCTTACAGAGTGAATTATAATGTGGCCATGAAGTGATTTCACTTGTGGACTCTGATTAGGAAACTAAGATTAACAAAGCCTGTGAGCCAAAGTTTGAAAACTAAAAAAAATAAATAAAAAGTTTGAAAACTACCAGTACTATAATTGCCAAGACAGGGACATTACATCTCCTGACTACTTGGCCCCTAGTACAATGCCCAGGACTTGGCAGTCAGTCACTAAATATTTACAGAAGTACAAGCAGTGAGGAAGAAAGAAAAGCAATCCAGGTGTAGGAACTGGTGACCCCCAGACTTCATTTAAGCTCCAGGCCCGAGAAGTTCTGACAGTTTTTTATACCTTTCCCCTCAGTTGAAACCTAACACTGATATAGGGGGAGGCCTTAACCTAGTAAATTAAATCTCCTCCAAACACTCTTAGGTGACGATTTTCAATCTTCATGCATTTTCAATACCTTGATCCACTTTACCTAATTTTAAAACATTTCCCATCATCTCTTAAAAATATTACAGGTTACATTTTTAAAAAATACATCAAAAGCATACAAAATGGCTGTGTATGCTCTAAAATGTGAAATACCCATCTATCCCCTATCTTATAGTCTGAGAAACAGACCATTATCATCACTTGGAAGCCTGGCTGTAAGTCCTCATCTAAGACAGCCCATTCCCACCACACCTGCTCCTTTCTTGGTTATCAGTATCCCGGATTCCGTACTGTTTGCTTGATTTTACTATTTCAGCATTTATGTATTTAAAAAATGCATGATTTATTTAATACATGCTTAAAAACCTATATAGGCTTACACATATATTTTTATGCAACTTCTTTTACTCAAAATTATGTTACAATTGATCTGTACTTTATTCTTTTTTTTTTTTAAATTGTTTGATTGTACTTCTTTGCTCAATTACATCATAATCTATATAGCCATTCCAGCGTTGATGAACATTTGGGTTGTTTCCATTTTTTCCCTCTCCGTCACAATGCTGCTATAAAACACTCTTGTCCATGTCTCCTGGTGACCATGTAAAAGAATTTCCTAAGAGTTATTCCTAAGAATTATTGGGTCATAAGTTATACACATTCAATTTTACTTGGCACTGCCAACTTGCTTTTATAAAGTGGTTACACTAATTTCCTCTCCCATCAGCTGTGGAAGAGATTCTCTCTACATTAATGTCAACCCTTGTTACAGTTAAGACATTCTAACATTCACCAATCTGGCAGGTGATAAACGTTATTGTGGTTTTAATTTGAAATTCCTTATTACTAGAAAGACTGAGCATCTTTTCCAGTGTTTATGAGCCACTGTGGTTCTTCATCTGTGAAATGCCTGTTCCTGTCTCTGGGACAGTGTTTCACTTACTGATTTCTAAGGGTTTTTTTATGTTTTGTATTTTAACCTTACAGAAGGTACATCTTACAAACAACTTTCATGTTAAGGTTTCTTTTTCATTCTGTTGTTTTTGATGACTGGTCATCTTAAAATATACAGCAGTCCCAATTTATTAATATTTCTTTCATATTTTGTGCCTTTTGTATTTTATGAAATATGCCCCTTCCTGAGGCCATAAA